CCACTCTTATTTTCACACACTTGTGCCAATTTTGTGAGCCAAGGACCCCTTTATATATTATGGAGGATTAGGGTTACATCCATGTAAGCCCTAATACCCATGACCTTTCATTTACATAGGATCCATGGGTTAAAAGCTCCATGGACCATCCATGAAAGCTTAGCCCAACCTAAATGAACTTGGCCCATTCCATATATATAAGAGTCCATATTTAATTAGTTCTTTTTGATCACTTAATTAATTCTAAATTAATTCTTGATCAATACTAATTAAATAATATGATTCCATATTAATATATTAGAACTTATAATATATTAATATAAATCATAAATATACTATTCTCAAAAGACTATCCATATAAATTGTGTCAGTGAAGTGCAACGCAAATGGACCATGCCGGGTCGGGTCAAGTACATACCAAATATAGTTATGGACTTAGACATTAATCCAACAATAGCATGGTTTCCTACAGGAACAAAAGTATGGTTCCTACGGGAACAAGAGTATGCTCCCTATGGAAACAAGAGTATGGTCCCCACCGGAATAAGAGTATGGTTCCTTCAGGATCAAGAGTATGGTTCCTACGGCGACAAGAGTATGGTTCCTTTGGGAGTAAGAATATGACTCCTTTGGGAATGAGATTATGTCCCTAATGGGAAAGAGATGATGGTTCCCTTTAGGAATATAGATTGAGTATGATTATAGAAGCTAGAGAAAGGTTCCTTGAGAGGAACAATATAAGAGAGTTATTTGTAAGAACTTAAAGTAAGGAATTTGTGAAGGATTCAAGAGAAAGAAGAAAGATTAAGGATCCGAGAGGGACATAAGAGAAAGGAGTAAGACTATGTGAGTGTGCCCAGTAATGAAAGTGGGATGTTGTTCCCTTAGAGTAGGTTATGAGATGTGATTGTTTAGTCTAGATGGGAATAAGGTGTTAAGACACTAGAGACGAGAAAGGGTAGGGTCTGGAAAGAACAGAGAAGAGATCGAGACAGAGACAGAGTTAGAGTATGTATAGAGTATGAGAAGATCCTGTTAAGAGGCTAAGAGGAGAGATAGAAACAGAGAAAGAGTTAGAGTATGAGAAGATCCTGTTAAGAGGCTAAGAGAAGTGTATAGGAAACATAGTAGATGAGGGAGAAAGAGTAGAATGAGAAGAATAGTAGTTTATGCTATTAGAGAAAGGGATCAGATGATAGAATATGAGGCAGATAAGAAAGATGAAAGAAAAAAAGATAGAAGAATAACTCACCAGACACGTTGTTTCTTATATTGCATAGATTTTATCTTTTACAGGTTCAGGTTGTAGCAGCCGTGGTACCAAAAGAAAAGACAGGAGCACAAGAAAGATTTAGATAGTAGATTGATATTATGTATTTTCCTTGTTGTCCAATTTTTATGTAAGATTTTATTGTAAACCCTTGATTTTTCCTGGGAAGTAAAGGTTTTAATTAGAGTAGAATTCCGCAAATGTAGATAAAACTCTGATAATTCCCATAGTTTAGATGTTAGAGAATCTGGGTTGTTACAGTTGGTATCAGAGCCATAGTTTAAGTGAATTAGGTTTGGGTGTATCCATTCCTAGTCTTAAACTATGGAAGATAGATGAGAAGCAGAGATTATGAGTTGGTTGTGGGATAAACCATGCTAGAAGATTATGGTAAACGGCTGAAGACATGTGAAGATAAAAGAACCTGAGTAATTAAAGATAAGTATATTTACCAACCTTGAAGGTTTGGGTCCAGAATGTTAGAAAAGAAAGAAAGAAAGTTTATTTTGTGAAATGACAAGAATGGGTACTCTAGTTAAAGAGATTCCAAGAGTATGTATAAAGAATGATAATGTGGTATCATGAAAGAAAAATATGATAGAAATGGTGTGTCCTGATATATGGACACTAGATAAAGTATGTGTCCCAAAGAGAAGAGTTAGTAGAAATCTAGAAAGAAGTGGGACAGAAAGAGGAATAGAAAAAGATAAAGATAGAAATGGGGATAGAAATTTGTAAGAGGGTTGGTATACCCAAAGAAAGAAAAGAAATATACATAGAGTCTATCTTGTAAAGAGTAAGAGAGTAAAGAAGAGTACTTATGAGTAGTATAGTATATTTGTCATTGCTTCTGAGAAAGTAGCCATGCATAAAAGAGAAAGTCAGTTGCTATATGGAAAGTGTATGAGATGTGTAGAGTAGAACTTGCATCATGTTGTTGGATGTTATAGAGATATCACTAACTAGAGATAGATTAAAATAGAAAGAAGATAGATATGCGGATAAAGAGAAAGTAGTGCAACAAGTGTCATGATGGACACTTAAGAGAAAGAGAAATATGGTAGAAATGCTCCCTTGTAGCTGTGTTAAGATCTAAGGAACATGAGAAAACGGTTTAGTACTTATGAGGAAGTAAAAGATGTAGAGTATGTGGAGTAAGTTGACACTTTGATAGTATGCCTACAAGAAAGAAATAAGAGGAGGTGTAGCTCCTAGTGTGAGAAAATATGGACCTATGAAAGTATGTAGATGAATGTGCATGTTATAGCAGTGTAGTTATGAGTAACTGTTATAGAAAGAAGAAATATTAACCTTATGTGTAATAAGGGACAGTTAGAAAAACAGAGTAAGAAGTTGCATAGAGAAGTGGAAAAATAGTGGACTCGTGAGAAGAATCTAAGACTGGATATAGAAAACTAGTAAGAGAATAAGATGGATAGGTGTCATCTAGAGATGAAAAGTTAGAAACATTGAGAGTGTATAACTTCCCAATGTAAGAAAATAGTAAGTATGTGAAATACATCATTTAGATGTATCAAGTATAGAGCAGGAAAGAAGGAGAGAGAAAGTCATAGTAGTTGGCTTGCGAGCAGCTGAGGACTAAAGAAGATAAGTACCCCAAGAATTTTCATGATTGAAAATTGGGTTATGAGAAAAGAGACAGAAAAGTTGTGAATCAATTGATGAAGTGGTAAAGTTGAAACGAGGATAAGCATGATGTCAATTCAGTGTATGGTTGTTGCAAACACATGGTACTTATTGTGGTTCAAGGGACCAGAACATATTATAACCATTTACTTACAGCATGTTTGGTCAAACTAGCTTGTGTTTTTATTTGTAAAAAATATTCGTCAAAAATAACTCCAAGCGTTTGTCATGTGTAAAATGACAAAATATAAAAGGTAAAAGATTTTGTATCTAAATAAAAGCTTTAAATTGGTACTACAAAATAAAGTTTTTCATTTTATTTTAGGATGAATGAAACAAGTGCTCTACGAACTTTTTAGGGTTGGTCATTTTAGTCCTTAAGCTATTTTCGTGGCTTTATGAAGGAACCAACTTGTGGGGAAACCTCCCTTTTTAGTCCTATTTACTTGTTTTAGCCGGTTTGAGTGACACATAGACAAAACTTAGGGCCCATCTCTCTTATGTTCATCATCTTCCTCCGTGTAAGATAAGAACTGATTTTAATGAAAAAGATTAAAAGCCTTTGATTGCAACTTTAAGTTAAACCAACTCCATCTTCTTCTTTATACTTCTGTCACATCCTTTTTTGAAAACCCACTGTCGATTTTTAAAAACAAAATCAAAAACCAACCACCATAAAAAGAGTAATTTTTGTTGATTTTTCGTGATTATAACTGATTTTAGTCCTCAAATTCAGTACCAATCAATCAACTAAACATGGAAGCAATGGAGGTGGATCAAGAACAGAATCACGATGTTGAAGATGATCCTCTCCTTTGATTTGTTGATTACTTGATATTTGTATTATCCCTAACGGATGACAAAGATGTAGTTGATGAAGAATCTAGTAGACTTGTTTGGAGCTGTATTGTTGGTCGGATTATCAAAACCTGTAAAGCTTATTCAAGCGGAGTCACACCCGCTATTCTCCTCTCTGAACTATCGTAGGTTCTCTGGAACAAATTTTTGGAGTTTTGGTTTCAATTTTGGTTTCTAGTTGGATTCTAGATATGTTTTCAGTTCACATTATTGAAGAAACTATAAATGTGAGTCATCATTGTCAACCGAAAGAAAAACACATCTCTTTGACAAACAAACCAATATTGTGTAAAATTAGGGGTGTTTGGATGTGCATTTCCAAGGTTTTGAATGTGATTATCTGGGCAATTAATCAACAAAATGTTTTTGGGCAATTTAAAGTTAAAGAGACTTTCAAATAGGGGTTTGCTTTCTTTCTTGTTTCATTGCATGGGTTTTTTTCACATGTGGTTGTGATTCAATATTTTTGGGGGAAAAGGAGATGTGCAACTGAATTGGGAAAGGGAAAAAAGGAGATGTGCAACAACAAGAGGAGACCTGGATGGATTTGAATGGAGAGCAAACAGGGGAAAAATATAGGGAAGAAGATGAATAGTAGTAGGTTTATGTGGGTTAAGAGAAAACTGGTCAAACAAATGTGTATGTGGCAAAGGGATAACCAGGTGACCCCTTCATTGTGTGCAAAATGACGTAATCGACCTGATAAAAATGACTTCGTTCCCTCATAAAGCCACGAAAATAGTTTAAGGACTAAATAGACCAACCCTAGAAAGTTCGTAGGGCATTTGTATCATTTTCTCTTTATTTTATTTGTAAAAGCAAAAAAAAAAAAAGGTAAAAATTCCCAAAAACTAATTCCCAAACATACAAGTTGTAATAAAGTTCTTGACATGAACAAATGTCTTAACTTTTCATTAAAACATAATATCTGAATATTATACGTTATAAATAGGTGTTGTCTTCTTAATAACTGAATAACAACCGTATGTCAATTAACATGTGCCGAGAGTTTTAACATGTCAGGTTCGCTTCTCCTAAAAGAATGATGATACGTTTCTATAAATATAAGTGATGCTTAATTTGTACTAACAAATGACATATTTCACTTGTATCGCTTTTTGTTGATGATACGATTTTGTTTGCAAACAAGATGAAGTTGAACTTAAATAAATGCAAGAAATAACAGTATACTTTTACCTATTTGAAATAGCAATAAATGAAAGTAGGATGACTGAAAAATAGATTGTTATTTCTTGCATTTAATTCTAGACTTTTAAGATATAATAAACCCACAACCTAAAAGTGAAACAAAAAAGATAATAATGAAGCATATCCTGCTAGAAGAAGGAATCCAGAACCTATGTTTCACACATGCCACTAACACAATTTTTAAAAAAAGAATAGCAGATAAGTTGAAATTACAAAATAACCCCTCACACTTAGTTTTTCCATCCACTTTAAGACCCACAGCAAGCCGACTTCTGTGCAGCTTCACCATTCCCACCACCCCCATCTGCTTGGTTTATCTTAATTGTCGTTGGCTGCAAATATGACAAAAAAAATTATTTATATAATTGTGTTTAAAAAAATAAAAGAAAATAGATTGCTATTTCATGGATTTACCTCAGCCTTGGTATCAGTGTCTGAAAGCCTTTGCTTGATATCCTTTGCAATCGAAAAGAAAACTTGCTCCACGTTTAGATTAGTTTTTGCACTCTGTATAAAACACACAATTGTTACTATAAATATAAAATAATAAATTGTTTTTATTCATATTAAAGAATTATCAAAATTTGGTTTACTTACGGTTTCAAAGAATTTAATGCCATACTCATCTGCAAGTGCTTGGCCTTTTGCGGTAGGCACGGCCTATCAATAAAAGATTAAAACGTCTCACATCCTTTTTTTCATTTTGAAAGTAAATAAAAATAATAAAATAGTAAAAAGTCAAAAATACCCTTTTGCTTTCATCCATATCGGCCTTGTTTCCGACCAAGATCTTGTTCACATTGTCGGAGGCGTGTTGTTCGATGTTGCGGATCCAGTTCCGTATGTCTGCCATGATAAATGAGGGCAAATTTGTAAAAAGTCAGGACTCATTTCTCTTGATTTCTATGTTAAGTTGATTCTTTCTATATTAAGTAAAAAAGAAAACCTTACTATTGAAAGATGACTCATCGGTGACATCATACACCAACAAAATGCCCATGGCTCCTCTGTAGTAAGCTGAAATTTTATACAACAAAATTAAATATTAAAAAGTAATATAACAAGTTAAGTTAGCATAATAAATTAATAAATAAATAAGTGAAAGAAAATAAATACCAGTTGTGATTGTTCGGAATCGTTCTTGACCAGCTGTGTCCCAAATTTGGAGTTTGATACGTTTGCCATCAAGTTCAATGGTTCTTATCTTAAAGTCAATACTGTAATTCAAAATTATTTTGTAATTATTAATTGTCAAAAAATAATTTTTTAATGAGGAAATTAATAGAAAAACTTGAACTCACCCAATGGTAGTGATAAAACTAGTAGTGAAAGAACCATCAGAAAAACGCAACAAAAGGCAACTCTTCCCCACACCTGCAAAGAAAGTAAAATAATACATTAGGTCAATGATTACAAAAGTATGAAGTTTATAATAATATTTTACACTTAAATTAGATAAATATACATATTCTTATACTAACAACCAAAAATTAACAGGTTCGGAAGGGGGGAGATGAGGGTGAAGGTTTGTCAATTTACTAAAGATGCAAATTTGCAAATAAATAATGAAATATTAAAGATTGTATCTAGAATTTTAACTCTTTAATGATTTTACTTAAAAAAGAAAAAACTGCAGATGTTGTATCATTCCTTCTAGGGTTCTTCATACCATATTTATCTAGTGTTCTTCTCTAGTGTTGATGCTAAGCTCACATGGAGCTTGGGATAAATAAGTTTGTGAAACTAAGAAGCAAAAAATGCAATAAAGATTTGAGATTCACCATTTTCACATGACCACAGATAATATAATCTACTATGCTGCATGAACTTGTATTTAACTTAAACCTAGTAACGTGGAACAAAATGACATTTACTATGAAACTCTTTGTTGCTAAAAACATATAATGTTATATTGTAATCCTTGGAGATCGGGAGTTCAAATTTCCTAAATACATGGAGACTACGATGACCTTTTTCTAGTAGATTCTCCTAATGTGAGATTGTATCTATCGAACCATTTCAGGTTTCAATGAACTATAGGACTTCACATCAATGTATGAAAACAATGATATTAGTTTCCATATCTTCTATTTCTCTCCATTTCTGATAAAGTATCTAGTAACGACCAACAATTATGTTCCACATTCATGGCAATCATATGAAAAGAAAGGACAGTTTGTAACATGACATGCTCTCTCTTTCCCCCTCTCTATGGATAAACGACAAGACCAACAAGATATGAATGTTCTTAATGCTCTCTCGCAACACGCTTAACATCTTTACTTCCTATTAACATCCCTAATCACTATCATTCACTGAAGTATCAGTCTGGTTTGAAGATTGAGAATAGACTTGCTAACACACAAGAAACACTTTTATGATGCATAAAGGCTTCATGAAACAGCAGATTGATCGTCCAATTGTCTTCATGGAAACAGTACAATCGGCACTCCATGTATAACAAAACCAGACACCGGATTCACGATTAAATGCTCCAGATTAACCTAGATCCGTACGGGAACGACCTTCAAAATCCCTAATACCATTGATTTTCAGCTTCTAGACACTGACAACTAGTGTTGACGATCCTCAAACAGCTACTAATTAATCAAATTCAATATCCTGCTTAGACGATCTATTGTTGCGAAACATAGTAAATACGTACCGCTATCGCCGATCAAAAGGAGCTTAATGAGGTAATCATAATCTGCCCTTGCCCTTGCCGGTGGAGCGGCCATTGAAGAGTCGAAAGAGAGTCGAAGAAAAAGCCCTAAAAATAGCGTATATATAAATATATACACACACTTATACCTGCATACCAATCAAATTCAAAAGTCACCGATTAGAATCAAAAACTAAACAAGTGTTTTAAACTAATTATTCCATTAATCGAACACAAACCAGATCAGAAACAAGCAATAGATCGGCCATGGAAGATCAAGATCAAGATCAAGAGAGAGAGAGAGAGAGAGAGAGAGAGAGAGAGAGAGAGATTATTACCAGATACAAAAGGAATATTTCAGTTTACACCCCCTGCGATGATGGTGGGCTAAGATGCGCCACTTCCTCCTTCTTCTCTATTTTTTAGGTGCTTCTATTTTGTTAATGGTGCGCTGGTCACCTCCCGGCGCAATCTAGCAAAGATGGGGAAAGAGAGGAGCGAATGAACGAATGAATGTTGACGCGCACAAAGATCAACCTGTAGACAGTTGTCGGTTTCTAAGGAAAAGAAGTGGCTGACCATGGTAACAACGGGTGCCAGCGACGTAGGGAAAGAAACTTCTGTCGCTGACCTGGAGATGGTTGATTGATCAGAGAATTATTTTTATTTGGACACCAACCTATCCAAACTAATAATGTGAACACCTAACTTCACTTTTTTACTTGAAATAGCATCATTTTTTTAGTATGTCCACCATAATTTATTTCCTTAGTTTTATGTAAATTATTAATTTTCATAATTGAATTAACATAATTTACCTTTTAAAAGTAACATTGTTTCAAGATAAGCCTGGAGGGAGTGGTGCCACCGAAACCGCACTTCCTTCGTTACCACATAAGCGTCACGTCATTTTTACCATAAAAGTGTGGTTCCTTGTCACACCCAATGAATGGTTTCACACTTTATTTTAAAAAAAATTAATAAAAACATTATTTTTCTCCCCACCCAATCACAAAATGGTCAAATTCTCTCCATCCAATCACAAAATACAACCATTTTTTACCACACTACGGTCTAAACCGCACCCAAACCGCAGTCAGGGGGTGGTGTTCCCCTGCCTATCTGGCAAAAGGTACGGTAAAGATCGCACCACTCCTCACAGTCTAATTAACTATTCAACAAATGTCTCAAGTAGTTTTATTCGAATCTTATAATGTTATTTCTATAGGTGAATAGACAAGGCATTACGCAGTTTATAATAAACTTTCTTATATTTAATATGTCTATATTTGTGAATTTTTAAAATCTGGTTCACATCTTGATGTTTCCTAGTAATCATTAACAATCTTTTCTAGATCACATTTATTGTATATTCATTGTATTGGCTCTTTGGGTGGTTTAAGTCGGTCTTTTTATTTGGACATAACGAGGATGATCTTTCTAACCACTTAATTTTGGCAAAACGCATATCAAGATCTGATGCTTAAAAATTATAGTGGGTGAAGAAAAACAGTCTAGGTTATATTATTTTTCAGAATCAAACAGAAAAAAACAACTCCCAAACTTCAATCTATATTTGAAAATCTAATTTCAACTTTCATAATCGTTTCGTTACATTTTCACTATAATGAGTGATTTGATCCATAATGATCATTTAGATTCCTTTATGAATCAATGGTTTCTATCAACAGTTATATTAATAGCATAGTCAACAAAATTTTGGACATTGCATTGTTATTTATTTTCAAATTATAATAAGTGTAGCCTTCGTTTAGCAAACATATTGTTATTTATTTTCAAACTAGAAGATGCATAGCCTTCGCTTAGCAAACATAATTTTATTTATTTTCAAACTAGCAAACGTAGAATATAACTAACCCAATAATCAGGTATCGTAATTGCTAACTTTACTGTTTTAATATATTGAACTTAATATTAAAATCACAATAGAAAGAACTTATAACGATATATTTAGTTTACACAAAATTCAACTTTTTATTATAGTTATTTAAGAACTTATATACGGTAGTCGAAATAAATGAGGGTAAACTATAAATATGATAACGAACATAATTTAAAATAACAAACTAGCAATTTAAAAGGTCAAATAATGTTTCTCTATATTTGGATTCCTCTGAAAACTTTATCTATAAATGAAATAGACACTAGAGTTGGTTCTTTTCATAATATATTCTCCATTTATTTATTATTATATGGTACATCGGGGTCGCTTTATGTGGCGAAAGTTTATTTACTAAATCATTCATGCCTTTAATATATATAAAACCAATAATTGGAATGGATTTTCTTTCTTTTCAATGTTTTGTGGTACAACTGTTTAGATGCGATTGCAAGAACAAGGAGGAATATACTAAAGCCCTTACCAGCGAATCAAGGCCCACAAGTTTCCTAATTATACTGACACGTGGCAGTAACTTCAATGATCTAATGGTTGGTTAATGAATAGCAAATGTGTCCCATTACATCCTTCAAGTTTGTAAATCGTATTTGGCTGCTGGGGTATTAGGCTAATCAGTCTTTTCATATTAATTTATTGTTATTGTTATTCTATGTGTAATGTTACTCGCCATATTATATCATTTTAACTACCAAATGGTCACCGCGCCATATGCCAAAATAATTTTCATATCATTTTTTTTTTCGAGTTTTAATTGTTTTATTTCATTTTTTTATTTTTTTGATAATTTTAAAAAGAAATTAAATAATTTTATAAAAAAATAGTTTTATAAAACATAACATGAAAATAAATTACATAATTTTTTTTTCTTTTTTCTTCTAAATACACTACTCGTCATCATCATATATATTCAAGTCTTGTCGAAGTTGCTCATGTTTTTGTGTGACATGAATATCAACGACTCCATGCAAATTTCCACCATTCCATTTATCACAAACCAAACCGTCTTTATTTGTTTTAAGTTGAAACAGTCTCAAGAACCTGTCTTTTAGGGGTAAGTGACATATCCAGACATCACTCCAAAATCTAGTAGACCTTCAATTTCCAACGCTTTTTCTCATACAAGAATGAAGAACCAAGCTCCTTTCATGCATAACATTCATAGATTTCACAATTTTGGTCGTACACGATGCCTATGTATCCGGGGATAAAAATTTGAACCCCTGCCTCCAACGTCACCATAAATCGCAACTATAAGATTCACCCACAAGGCATTTTGTTCATGTACAAATCTCCGTATCCACTTTTCAAGAAGGGAAAATTTAAAGGCTTCAAGATTGTCGATACCTAAACATCCTTTAGATTTTAAAGCAAGAACTGAATTCCAAGCAATCCATGGAATTTTTTTACCAGTGTGATCACTACCCCAAAACAAATTGGATCGAGGATATTCAAGATTCTTTTTAATTTGAATCGACATCAGGAATAAGGACAAGTATAAATACCGAGAGATCCCAACACTGAAGATACTAACACCGAGCGACCACCAATGGAGAACATGTTTGCTTTCCATCTAGATAACATGTTCTTGAATTTAGCGATAATAGGGTTCCAACTTTTCAGGGTAGACATACAACAACCAACAAGAAGACCAATGTAAGAAAAAGGGAGTTGATATGCTCGACATCCTGTAAAACTGGCAAAGCTACGAACTTCTTCACAATCTACCCCCACACCATATAAATTAGACTTATGTAGATTAATCTTTAACCCAGAAACACATTAGAAGCATTGTAATAATTTCACAAGAGCTCTAATATTATCTAGACTTCGGTCACCGAGGAATAAAACATTTGTAGGAATAATATTCCGGTAATGTACGAAAACAAACAAGAAAATAGAAAAATTGAGGCATGTGTTTAACACATTGTCCTTAAAACAAATTCGTCCGCTATCGGGTGTTTGTTTCCCAGGATACAACAGTTTGAAGTGGTTCTTCTAGACCACCCGAACCCTCAATAGGCCTAGATTATATCTTCAATATAGCTAGAAAAACAAAATACAACAAAAGTCTTCATTCCTTATCGACCAACCTGTTTTAATAAGTTTCTGAGAATAAAAGTTATTTTGAAAAATGTCAACATATAAAATGTTGGTGAGTTCATAAGCAAGTATGTATGAAAAGCCTTGTAGTAATTTGTAAACACCAGAAAATCCAATATTCTGTAAAATAGTTTGTGAGTTTTGTTTCAATCTTGTATTAAAGCATGTGTGTTCTTGTTTGATAATGTATAAAGAGAGTTTCCCAGAAAATCCTATATTTTCTGTATAATGAAAAAGTGTGGTCTTAACCCCAAGACCCGAGTGGTGAAAGTTTAAACGTAAATAGTAACTGTATAGTTCGTACTTTGTATCATGAGTATAGTATGTGTATTCCGTAAATTTATTTGTTTGTTATTATCTATGTGAGTCGTTATAACCATACTTGATAATTGATATGACTGATATGTCTGTCATGACGTTCTTCAGGCGTCGGTTACGGTAAGACATTTATCACCCTAGACTGGCTTGTATAGCTATAGCGAACAGCTCAGGTGCGGGGGTGTCAACCCCATAGAGATCTATACATAAATTCTCGCTCTCCCTCAAGGAGACTCTGGTTATAACTACAAGACTTACGGTGTACGCTAGGTAGGTACGAATGAAGGCGTGTCTCACAAGAGCCTTAACTAAATTTACGCGAATGGTGTATCCCATTATCTACCGCTTTAAATAATGTTTCGAGTATGTATTTTGGATAAAATGCATCGGTGACAAAAATATATTTATTTTTATCAAAATGTCAACTATTTATTGTTATCCACCCGATTAACATAATATGTGTTGTAAAGGCCCGATGAGGAAGTAAATGGGCATACAAGGCCCAAATAGGAATAAATTTCCAAACATGGCCCAATAAGCATGTAATTGGGTATGTAAGGCCCAATAAGCATGTAAATGGGTATATAAGGCCCAATTAGATTAAGCATGTCGTAAATAGTCCGTTTGTTATCAAAATGGTCGTTTTAGCTCAAATAGTACCAAAATGACATAAAAGTCCCACTTTTATTAAAAATGACCATTTTGGCCCAACAAAATCGAATTTACAATAAAGTCCCACTTTTTGTTAAAAATGACATTTATGGCCCAATAAAACCATGTTTTGTCAATAAAGCCCATTTTTATGAAAAATTGCACTTTTGGCCCATAAAACCGTGAATTTGTCAAATAAGGTCCATTTTATCAAAAATGACATTTCTAGCCCACTGAATCGTGGGTTTTGAAGTAAGACCCATTTTTATGGAAATTTACACTTTAGGCCCAATAAAACTATTTTTGACCCGTTAAAGCCGAGAATTTACAATCAATGCCCATTTTTGTTAAAAATGACATTTTTGGCCCAATAAAACCATGTTTTGTCACATAAAGCCCATTTGTATGAAAAATGACACTTTAGGCCCAATAAAACCGTGAGTTGTCACATAAAGCCCATTTTTATGAAAAATGACATTTTAGGCCCAATAAAACCGTGAGTTGTCACATAAAGCCCATTTTTATGAAAAATGACATTTTTCACCCATAAAACCCTGGATGTCATTAAAGGTCCATTTTGTTTATATTTCTTGTCAAGTATGGCCTTTTTGTATACTTTCTTTAGTTTTCTAGTAACTTTTAACATGTTAATCTTTCCAAACATCATAAAAATTCACATTGAGTAACTTGTTTACTACATCTTCAAAACATGGAAGATATATCAAGTTTATGAGTGTTTAACATAAT